GGAACAAACATGTATTCCATAACCTACTACTTGCCGGCAGTATCACCAGCTACAAGGTTTGTTACAAATTCAGGAAAATGGCCAACCCAGATGTTGAAATTGGCATTCCCTAATTCAGTTCCTAGCGCAGCCAAAGTGTGCGCAGCTACGTTACATGTTCTTGAACAAACATTCAACTTTACATCATCAAAAGCGACTCTTAACTGGTGCTTTATTTCCTGAAAAAGAGCTCCCAGTTCAGCTAGATTATAAGCTTCAGTTGAAACTGCTTGCTTCAGCGCCACAGAATCAGTCTCCAGGATGATCCGGCTGCATCCAATTCTAGATGCGGCGTTAACAGCATATAGCATAGCTAGTGCTTCGGCATGCAGAGCATTTGATAAGTGCTCCAAGCTTCCTGACCCTGCAGCAATCAAATCGCCCAAATCATTTCTGATTACGAAACCCCATCCGCCTGTACTTGTTACTTCATGAAAAGATCCATCGGTGTTAATTTTCATAAACTCACTTGGGGGAGGAGACCACCCATGATTAACATGTTGCTTCTTGGCCATACTTCTTTCCTTGGTGTTCCTGAAAACAAACACATAATAATCAATTGAAGCTAAAATAACTTGAGGAGTTCTCATCTCCCCTCCTGCATTCACTTTGTTCCTCTCATGCCACCATCTCCAAAATAGAATACACACCTTAATTCTTTCTTCCTCTTCTAGCTGGAACACCTCTTCAAACAAGCTAAAAGGATCAGGACACTGAATGAGCTTCAGTCTGGTGTGTTCCATCTGGGCCATCCTCCATATGTTTTTCACTTTTTTGCATTTCAAGAAGCAGTGTCCCCCATCCTCATCAAAACGGTAGCATACAGGGCATCTGGTATCTACCTCCACCCCCCTGTGTTTCAGCCTTGTTTTGAGGGGTAAGCTGTGTGTCACCATCCTCCATAGAAAATGCAGCACCTTGTTTGGCAATGGTAATGCCCAAATTTTTTTCCAGTTGAAATTGGAAGTTTCACTTGTACCCTCCGAACAAGATGGCAGACCATGCCTTGAATCCCTTTTTGCTGAATCTGCCGCCACTCTATATGCAGATTTCACTGAGAAGACACATTTCTTATCAAAATGCCACGCAATGAAGTCATTCGTGTTCTCCAGAATGGGGATTTTTAGGATTGTCTCAGCATCGTCTGCATTAAAGGTTTGGTATACCAGATCGGTGTCCCATGAATTCATGACAGGATTTATAAGCTCATTTACCCTAGTTACTAGGTGTCTGCCTTTATGTGAGGATACTCTTCTGGTGATGCCTCGAGGGATCCAGGGATCTGACCAAATATTTATGTTACTCCCATCTCCTACCCTCCAAATGATCCCCTTCTTAAGCAGTTGTACACCTTTCAAAATGCTCCGCCATGTGTAGGAGATTCCATTTTTGGGCCTTGCTTCTAAAATACAGCTTCTCGGGTGGTATTTTGCTGCTAGTACTTGAGCACATAATGAGGATGGGTTCTATAGTAGACGCCATGCTTGTCTTGCTAGCATAGCTAGGTTAAAAGAGTGCAAATCTCTAAAACCCAGTCCTCCCTCACTCTTTGGTTTTGATAATTTCTCCCAAGACATCCAGTGGATCTTATTTTCCTTATCCATTTGACTCCACCAAAATCTGTTGACCATAGAACTCAGGTCATCACTTAGAGTTCTTGTGATGTCGAAGCAAGCCATAGTGTACACTGGGATAGCCTGTGCTGCAGCTTTTATTAATATTTCTTTACCAGCTTTCGACAGTAATTTCTCCTTCCATCCATGTATCTTGTTCCACTCTTTGTCCTTTAAGTACTGAAAAGTTTTGGCTTTTGCTTTCCCAATGTAAGCCGGCAGACCCAAGTATTTTCCTTTGAACCCTTCAGAGGAAATTTGTAGAGAATTCCTCACTTCTTCCTTTTGTCCAGGATTGGTGTTTTTGCTGAATAAAATCGCTGATTTTTCCTTATTGATTACCTGCCCAGAACATGCTTCATAGGATTCCAGGATGGAATTCATCACTCGTGCATTGTTTGCACTTGCCTCCATGAGCACTAGAGAATCGTCAGCGAAAAGCAAATGACTTATACTAGGTGCTTCCCTGCATATTTTGATGCCCTTCAAACTTCCACTTCTTTCAGCTTCATGCAGCATAGCTGAGAAACCTTCTGCACATAACAGGAAGAGGTATGGCGAGAGGGGGTCTCCCTGGCGTAACCCTCTTTGGGGAATGATGGTACCCGTAGTACTTCTGTTTACTTTCACTTGATATTTAACCGTGGTTATGCACTTCATTACCAGATTGACCCAGTCATGGCGAAATCCTAGCTTCATCATAATATCCTCTAGAAACTTCCATTCGACACGGTCATAGGCTTTGCTCATGTCAAGCTTCACAGCTGCGTATCCTACCCTTCCTCTCCTTCTCCTCTGTAAAAAGTGTGTTAATTCATATGCTAATAGGATATTATCAGAAATAATATGACCAGGTACGAAGGCGCTTTGATTGGGGGAAATAATATCAGGGAGTATGGTTTTCAGTCTATTTGTGATTACTTTAGAAATCACCTTGTACACCACATTGCAGAGGCTTATGGGGCGCAAATCCTTCATGCTTGTTGGATGGGCTGTCTTTGGAATTAATACTATCATGGTATCATTCCACCCTTCAGGCATATCTTCGCCCCTTAACGTATGTAGCACTTCTTTACTAACCTGATCTCCCACAATTTGCCAAAAACTTTTATAAAAGATTGCTGGCATTCCATCTGGCCCGGGTGCCTTAAGATCCCCAATACTGAACATTGCTGACCTCACTTCCTCCTCGGTATATTCAGCACACAATTCAGCATTCATTTGATTGGACACTTTTGGCCTAATGGTCCTTAGCACGTGCTCCCTTTCCCTGCTGAACCCCATTGTAGATGTAAAGAGGTTGAAAAAATAATTTGCAACATGCTCGCTTAGATGTTCATCTCCTTCTATCCACTCCCCATCTTCTCTTTTTAATTTACTAATTGTATTCCTTCTCCTCCTCTCTGATGCAAATGCATGGAAAAAGGTTGTGTTTTTGTCACCTGATTGAAGCCATTTGACATGAGCTCTTTGTCTCCAGAACATATCCTTTTGATGTTCTAGCCTCTCTAGCTTTTCTCTGAGGAAGTGTTCTCGGGATATATTGCTTTGTTCGATAGGTGCTCTTCTGACTTGCTCCAACTCCACTTTCATTGTTTTAATTCTTTTCTCTAGATCCCCTAGAACATTCGCATCCCAGTCTTGAAGATCCTCTGTTATTCTTCTCAACCTTTGGGATAGTTTGCATTCACCGCATACTATCGCAGTGGACCAGGCGTTTTTAACCACTTCCTCACAACTTTCTTCCTGGAGCCATTTAGCTTCGAACCTGAACCCATTATTTCCTTTGTGTTGTCTCATTATTCCAACTGCCCCTTCCATAATTATGGTTACAGGTCGATGGTCTGAATGTCTTGGATCTCCGTTAAAGACCTTATGGTGAGGAAACCTTTCACACCAACTTCGGGATCCCACAGCTCTATCAAGCCTTTCCTTTACATATCTACTAGCATCATAGCTGTGATTTCTCCAAGTATATTTGTGGCCAATATATCCCAGATCACGAAGCCCACAGTCTGACAATGCCATTCGAAACTTCTCAATCTGTGATGGGGCTCGCGCCGGGCCACCCTTCTTCTCATGGCTATAGAGAACCTCATTGAAGTCACCAGCACAGATCCATGGAAGGTTAAGTTGTTTATTTAGAATTCTCAGAATCTTCCATGTTATATCCCTCTTGTTAGTTGCCGGCTCTCCATATATGCCCGTGAATCGCCATTTGAAACCATCTTGCTCCACGACTTCCACATCAATGTGATAACGTGAATAGTTGTGGAGCTCAATATTAACATGCCTTTTCCACATTAAAGCCAACCCTCCACTCTTGCCTTCACATCTTCTCACCACCATATTTGACATGCCTAATACAGACTTAATCCACTGCATTCCCCTCTCATCCATTTTGGTTTCCGACAAAAAGAGGATATCAGGGTCCTCCTGCTTCTGGAGATCCAGAAGTCCCCGAACTGCCGGGCCATTCCCCAGTCCCCGGCAGTTCCAAGTTGTTATTTTCATTTTGGTTCGCCAGGCTGTCCCTGCAGCCCAGCGTTCTCTATGTTTGACTTTGAGTTTTCTCCCTTCTCCCTATCTGCGACAACCTCCCCGTCAACTTCCATTTTGGCTTTCTTTAGTATCTCTGTCTCTTGGTCTACATCCATCAGATCAACATTTCTCTTCTTTGGTATAGTCTCATGAGACTGGTTTTGTTGGTTCTTCTCTTTAGATCTCTCATACCGCTTAAAAGTGCCAATCTTCTGGCTTTTACCTGACATGATTCCCTTATTGCCTTTCTTGATATGTTCATCTTCCCTTCGATGGCCCCTCTCCTTCTCTCCTTGACCAATTTCCGTTGTCGTTGGTCTTGCTTTTGGCATTTCCTTTTCCTGAGTCGCCAAACCAGGGTCTGCATGTTGTGCATTCTTTTTACAGGAGCTAGGCTTCAAATTTGTATAGGTAGTCTCCCCTGGCTGCTTGTTCTCTTCAAACACCAATTCCCTGCCTTTCGCATCTCCATTTGTATCATCTTGAGTTTTCTTTAGGGGGCTGGTGACTTCTTTCTCTTCTCCTTCTCTTCCTGATTTTTCTTCATTCGTTCCCGCTGGTAAGCTCTTCCTCCATGATGGACCATCACTCCCATGTTTACTCCCCTTGTTGCCTGCACTATATGTGTTCCAGAAGTCACCGCGATCACTTGAGCTTCTACTTCGTTCATCACTGGAACTTCCATTGTACATGGTTGCACGCAGCCAAGGACCAAACTGTCTATCACCGTCTCTTCTAGTTCTAGATGGGCAAACCCTTTCTGTATGGCCGATAATCCCGCAATTGTAACAAAAATCTGGTAGATGCTTACTCAAAGGAGACAATTTTCTTCTTCGTCTTCCTTTTCTCCATATCTTCAGCTCCCATCATTTCCTCGGATATTTGCTCCTCCTCCTCTTCCTGTTCTTCATCTACGGTTATGAACCTCATAATAGGGACTGTTATGTCCATCTTTACTTTGATACGCATAAATACACCCATTGCACTTCCATTGTCGTCCAAATCAACATCCAAAAATTCACCAATTTGCTCTCCTACCAATTCCCCTGTTTCTGAGCTCATCATTCCTATTGGTATGCCATAAGCTCTGATCCATATAGGAATCGACTTAAATTCATACTCATCTATAGTTTTGCTTGGCACAAAATCTTCCATCACCAGTAAGTCTTTATTAAACATCCAAGGTCCATTCCTTAATGCTTTGTTCTTGCTCACATCATCATTAAACCGAAACAGAAATTGGTTTCTACCCAAACCCTTACATTCTACTCTTGAAAAGGGGCACCACGCACCACTTAATGCTCTACCCAAATACTCTGCTTTTGCTGGTTTTTCAGACATGAGCTTACCCACAGCCTGAAACTTACTCACCTCAGAGGAACAAGTGTGTTTCTTCCCAATCTTGATACTTTTCTTCTCTGCATCTGAAAGCTTCAGATTCCTCAACCTTCCTTCCACACCATCCACCACAGTAGCCTTCCCGTCTCCCATCTTGGCTGCGCCCCGCAGCTCCGGGACAGCGCTGCCCTGCCAGATGCCTTCCACCACCGCCGCTCCCACCTGCAGCTCCGGGACAAAGTCGCCCCACCAACTGCCGCTGGCCACGGCCGCCGCCCACACTAGAGCCGCTCGAGAGCTTCCGATGTGGGCCTGCTCAGGATTTGATGGCTCCACCAGTGGCCTGCGGTTTGTGGATTTTGCAGGTCGGAGTTCTTCACCTCTCGCCAAGGACTTGGATCAAGATCGGCCTCGGATGAACAGCTCACAGTCTCAGTGGAAGGGATTGAAAGGGGAACCTCGAATCTGGAGTTTCTGGTTGAATTGGATCGAGGGTTGAGCGGCAACAGTGCCGACCAGGAACACTACGGCGAGTCGCCTCGAAGACGCTAGAAACAGCACCAACCGTCACGAGCGGACGGACAAGGGGGAAAAAGACTAGATCTCTTCATACCCTTCATAAATGAGTATGATGGTCTTTCTTAAAAATACATCGTCCGCACTCTAAAAAATAGAGACCTGACTTGTTCTGAGTCCACTATAAGCCGGCCTAGTAGTAACTACTACGGGCCGGCCTAGTAGTAACTAGTAACTGCATCTGCCTATATTTCCTCTTGCTTCGCTCCGCTCGGGGCGACGCGGGTGGCGACCCAACCCTAGCCACCGAACCCCCTCCGCCTCCCTCCCACTCCTCGCCGCCGCCAGAGGGGTTGCCGGGGAAGGCTGCGCGACTGCCAAGGAAGGCGGCGGCGAGGCCTTTTCGTCTTCTCGCGGAGGGCTTCGGAAGCCGAGGCGGCGGCCTCGGGCGGTGCGGCGACGCCGGCTCTGCGGCGAGCGGCGCTCGCTGGTGCTCCTCCTCCCCCTTGGATGTGCGGGCAGCGACCGGTGGAGGCGTCGGGCGCAGGTTGCGGCAGGTGGCCTGGTGCCCCTGGCTGCGAGTCAGATCTAGAGGTCCTTCCTCCCCCATCCTTCGCCTTTTCCCCACTGGATGTGGTCTATGGTGATCGATGGTCACCGGATCCATGGAAGGTGGGGACGTCGGAGGTGCGAGATCGGTCCGAGAGAAATCTTTGGCCGGCTTTCCGGTCACGATGGCGGCGACGCCTGCTGGCGCCGTTCCCCTTCTCGGAGGCGCCGTCGAGATTCGATCCCCGCCCCCTCCCTTCTCATACCCGGGTGAAAACCTTAGCCAGTTCTGGGCTTGGCGGCAGCGGCGCGGCTTCCGCGCCGTCACGTTGCTGAAGGTGCCGTCTTGGGCGAGTTGGGGGTGTGCACTGGCGTTTCGATGTGGTTTTCCGGCGAGCAGCGACATGGCAGTTGAAGGTAGCGCCGGGATGCCAATTTTCACAAGATTAGCTCCTTGTATTTGTCTTGTAGACAGGCCGTGTGTGTGTGTTTGCTTGCCGGTGTGTCGGCGCCATTGCCATGGTTGGGGAGAGGATAGGGTTCCTCTCCCAGTGAGCAGCAACACGGTGTTGGCGGTCTGGACATTGATTCATTGAGCATTGATCTTATCTCAGCTACGGTCGCTTGTCATCTCTGCCATTTGTTCCATCGGCGTCCTCGTCCTTCAACAGCTTCGTTTCTTCATGTGTGACCCAGTGATCTGCGGTTGGGCTCTTCTCCTGGCGATCTTTGCTCAGTGGGCTGGTCATGCTGAGAATCTCCCAAGGTGCTCCAGAATATATACCGTTCCTTGCTCTAGGGTGAGTTGCTTCAATTTCCGACGGTCCGGCGCCCTTCGATCCAGGGTGAGGGGCAGGGGTCCCCTTCAGAATTGGAGAGGGGAGGTTCAATGACGGTGGTCTCCTTTCGGAGTGGATGAGGGCGTGTTCATCTCCACTAGGCGGGTTCTCCTCTTGAAGTTCTCTCGCTGTCTTTCTTCGGTGTGTCATTCGCGTCGAAGGGCTCCCTCAGCAGTAAGCTAGTTTTTCTGTAGTATCTTCTTGTGCTTTCTGTTGAGATGCTTGTAGGCTGCTTTTGTAGCACCTTGTATCTGCCGTTTTCAGTTTCTTTGTTTTTCTTTCTCGTTGTAAGGGCAATTTTCCTGGCCGGTTGATGGCTTTGTTAATTCAAAGCCGGGCTCTGCTTGAGCCTTCGTTCTTTTTTTTAACTAGTAAGTGTGTACTGTAGCCCGGGATTGAAAATCAGAAGAAAAAACACTAGAACCAACCAGATTTGCTGATATATTAGCAGAGTTTCTTATCAACAAGAATTGATTTACTGTAGCAGACCAAACCAGCACTGTACTACCGGGCAGGAAACTGTAGCGAACCGACCGAGGGGGTATTGTAGCTAATGTGTTTTTCAAATTTTAATTTTTTTTTTGAAACACAAACATTTTAAAAAATCCGAAATGTTTTTCAAACATTGAACTTCTTTTTGAAACGCGAACATTTTTTGATTTTGTGAACATTTTTCAAATTTATGAACATTTTTCTTAAAGTGCGAACAATTTTTCAAATTTGCAAACATTTTCTTTGAAACTTGAACAATTTTTTAAACTTCAGAATATCTTTTGAAATGCAAACACTTTTCAAATTTGTGAGCATCACTTGAAAACACAAACATTTCTAAAAATTTAGGAATATTTTTAAAGTTTAAAAACAGTTTTTGAAAACATTTTTTAGTTTCTAGGGAATAAGCATTTTTTTCGTTTTTCTTCTCTTTTCTCGTTAATTCATTTCCCTCCTTTTTGAACTTTATTATAATTCTTGAAACCTTTTCAAAAACTTGAAAAAATCTTTGGAATACCAGAAAATGTTCTTATTTTCAAATATTGTTTATAATTTGTTTCAAATTCTAGAATGTGATTAAAAATAATCCCTTTCTTGAATTTTTTATTCACACATTTTAAAAATATTTGTGCTTGAATAAATGTGATAAATTTTATAAAAAACATATGAACTGAATTTTTTCTTCAAAATTTTCATCAATTGGGAATTTGTTACCACTTTTGGAAAATGTGTTTTAACTATGTAAAATTTTCACACACAATTTATTATTCCAGAATTGTTGACAAATTTTAAGAAATGTTTACAACATAAAAAAATGTTCATGTGAATTGATAATGATGGAAATTGCAAATAGCAAAAGCATTAAAATTAGGTAAAACTACATGCTCATGGATGCACCCGTCTGGCATAGTCTAGCACACTTTTCTCAACTGCTGTTTTTTGAACTACTAGTATGCGTACACGTCAAAATTCACGTGTATAGAGAAGATAGTCTGGTAGTAGTAGTCAAAAATATTGCAAACGGACCTATCATGTTTTTGTACAATCAAGGAAGGTCATTATCACTGTTTGACAAAAGGTACTCCCTGCAAGTGATCTAAAATGTCTTAGAGGGAGTATAATTTAGAAAATCTACTTTGCAATGCACCTAAGAGCATCTCTGATAGATTCCTAAGTTTTGGGCGAAAGAAAAGGCCATTTCAGATCCCGCAAAACGGCTGGTCCTGTAAAAATTTATACAGCTCCCCTTAAGAAAAACCTCGTCCTGAAGATATGGAGTTTTGGAGACAAATTTTTTAGCTCCCCCTTTACCAGAAAACCGTTGGCAAGAGGAAATCTCATGTCATCCGCCACCGCCAGCTCCTGATTCTAGCCTTCCCCACTGTCACCGACTGGCCGACCGACGTCCCCCGCCCTTCCTCGCCTCACTCTTGAAGGCCATCGAATCGTTGGGGAAGAAGATGACAATGAAATAAAAAGAGAGAAAAAGCACCGGTAGATGGAATATTAGTTTTTACGGTAGAAAATTGCGGTATCTGTTCAGTGCCAACCCTCATGGTACCGAAAATCCTTTTTAGGAGGAACCGTAAGCTGGTTTTTTAGACGCCAGGCACGGGACCATGTTGTCCGGGAGTCCCACGGTGAAGTCCACGCTGCAGCCGGCGAACGCGTTGAGCACGCGCGCATCCTCATCGTACAGCTTGACCTTGGTGGCGTTCAACGCACGGAGGAGCACGACCGCCGCAGGTTGTCGGCCACCTGGCCGTAGTTCACCACGAGCGCCGCGGAACCTCCCCCTACCGCCGCCAAGTCCGATGCAAGCGTGCTGACGGCCACAGCGAACACGTGCCGGAGCGGCGAGTCGGAGTAGAAATGTGGTGGAGCTATCTGACAAGACCGGGAATGAACTGACAGCACCATAGGAGGATGTGAATCACACGCTTTATATCGAAGCTGTTTTTGTGTCGGCTCTGACAAGGTGCCGTTGGTAGACTTCTTGCTTCAATCAAGATTGTCCAAGGCCGAAGATCGGTTGAGATTTCGTGTGGGGTCTCTGTTGGGGAACACAGTATTTGAAAAAAATTCCTACGATCACGCAAGATTTATTTAGGAGATGCATAGTAACGAGCGGGGAGAGTGTGTCCATGTACCCTCGTAGACCGAAAGCGAAAGTGTTTAATAACACGGTTGATGTAGTCGAATGTCTTCGCGATCCAACCGGTCCAAGTACCGACCGTACAGCACCTCCGCGATCAACACACGTTCAGCTCGGTGACGTCCCTCGAACTCTTGATCCAGTTGAGGCCGAGGAAGAGTTCCGTCAGCACGACGGCGTGGCGACGGTGTTGATGAAGTTACCGATGTAGGACTTCGCCTAAGCACTACGACGATATGACTGAGGTGTGTAACTGTGGAGGGGGGCACCGCACATGGCTAAGAGAAGACTTGGTGTGCCTTTGGGGTGCCCCCTCCCACGTATATAAAGGGGGGAGGAGGAGGAGACGGCCCTAGAGGGGGTGCGCCAAGGGGGAGTCCTACTTGGACTCCTAGTCCAAGTAGGATTCGCCCCCCCCCCCCTCCTTCCTTGCACCGGAGAGGGAAAAGGGGAAGGGAGAGAGAGGGAGAAGGAAAGGGGAGCGCGCCCCCTCCCTAGTCCAATTCAGACTCCCTATAGGAAGGGGGCGCGGCTGCCCCTTGTGGGCTGCCTCCCCTCTTCCCTATGGCCCATGTAGGCCCAATCTTCCCCCGGGGGGTTTC